GTTTAAGTGCCTTACATCTGAAGCGAAGCTATAATTTTAAAATATGTATACTATCTTGCACTAAAGAATTAATTGTCTTTGCTTTAGATCGCACAAATAACTTAAATGGCCGGGATAGCCTGGTTGGTAGGTCGCTGGGACCATGTCCAAGAGTTCGTGGGTTCGATTCCCGCTGACTGAAGACTCACCGTGTAGTAAATGGTGACTGATGCACGTTAAATCTGTCGAGTCGCGAAGTCCTTCGTGTTCCCATAACAAATCAATACCTATGTTGGTACTGATCCAGGAGTTTCCTTGTCTTCTGAATTGGTTCAAAATTACAAGGCTACGGAGTTGTTGAACATTAGTAGTCGTAAACCCAAAAATTGGATCGGCTGTTCAACGACGGAAATAAAACAATAATAAAATAACTTTTATTTTAAAAGTTATTAAACTTTTTATAAAATCGCCAACTTGGCAACATTTTTCCATTTTTAAGAAATTTATCAAATTCAATGTCTCATTCTAATTTTTTACAGATTTTTGTGGGCCCAGATAATGCAGCACTGAAAAAAAGTTTTTAAAAATTTAAATATTAGACCACAAACGCTTTTCATAAACTGTAGCTTTTCTCCATATTGACATTTAGCGCCGTTTTGAGAATAAACATAGAGGACGCTGGCGGAAGATAGGTTAATCTTGACCTCTCAAACAGGAGTAACTGATTTTAAACTCACAGAAGAAGAATATGAAAATAGCATATTCGCCACAAAGCATCATACCATGCGATGACAGATGTTTCTTAAAAGTCTCTGTAATAAGTACATTTCGAAACATTAGTAAAAAATTCGTAATGAGTTATGTAAAAGTAGTGTAATGTCATATACTTAAAATAAGCTTCTTTCTTTACTTAATTGAATATTGTATCAAACTTAGTTATGTCTTTCATAATAAATAATTAAGCTACTTCAGTACTTGCATTAAAATCTCATCAACGATAACAGTTTATGAACATTTGTATTTATTTTCCACATTTAATTTACCAAAAGTTCATTATTTCAAAATTCATTCATTCACAAGGAGATGCTTCTTGACTTTTACGATGAACGACCCATATGCCCCTTTATTGCTAATTAAGAGTTTCGAAGTGTTTCCATTATTCGAATAACCCTTTTGATTATTCTAGTCACCGAACAATCGTGTCGAAATTATTTCGTTGTTAAAAAAAAAAGGAATAACCACGCCAATTTCGATTGAATCGTAGCTTTCAAGTAGATTTTATTTCAGAAAGAAAAAAAAGGGATAGTAATGATATTTTTATGGCAATAAGGGGGAAACAAATACACAGCACTGATTTATTTATTCTTTTGTTAAGAATTGGAATTTGTTACTCCTAGGTAACATGAAACTATCTTTCATATCAATAAAAAATTAACTTTATCTAGCCATATTTAATTAAAATATAATGACTAAAAGTGAGAAAAATTCGAACACTTTCAGAGCAAACGATTTTTCTAATTTGAATTCATTGCATTGCAAATCGATTTCAGAATTATTTGTATTAGTGGTTTTAAGCATTTTTTTTTCCCCCTGGGCGTTTGCGTAAATCTCTCCTGAAGGTTCGGAATTTTCCTTAGAAGTATTTCAATTCCTCGAGAACTCTTTGTGTTGCTGTTTTAATAACAGTTTAAATTCTAAACTGTTTACCCAAAAAGAAATATTAGTGTTAGTGAATCTCATCTGTCACATTCATTCATTATCTTTCTGTGTAAACTTATCTTGTTCAAAAGTCCGTCCTCGTGCACAGTCTATTCAATTTACTGATAATGTGCTTATTATTACCTATCAATGATAAGTTATTGTAGTTAAGTTGCGTTCATTCTGGGCGTATCTAGATTACGCGATTGTTTATGTAACGCCAGTCATTAAAAGAAATTTGTGAGGAGAAAAAACAACGTTTGTTAAGTTTATGCTTAGCATGAAACATTGTATGAAACAATGATCTTTTGACAACCTTAGTCCTAGAAATTGACACTTAATATATTCAAGGGGGAATAATTTGTGTTATACAAATTAATTCTTTTGACCTGAAACCTTATTTCAGGCTAAATTTTTTAATTAAAATTTTGAATTTGTTTTGTAATACTAATTTCGAAATATTTAATAGTTTGCGTCAACCGTAAATGTAGCAGTCGTTAGATTCTTAGCTTATTTTTATTTAACTAATTAATTGATGTATATATTCTTGTAAGACCTTTATTTTCATCTCCCAAAATGTATTCCGAATTTTTTATTTTGATTTCTCGTGTCTCCAATATTTTTCCAGGAGATTGGAGAAAATTAAATTACTTATATATATGTAACAGGGGTCTGTTTAGAAGAAATTTGGGTCCGTTAACGGACCCTTCACAAAATATCTTTTCTTAAAAACGGACCCTTCACAAAATATTTTAACTTAAAAACGGACCCTCCGCAAAATAAACTGAAAAACGGACCCTTCACAAAATGATTTTTCTTTTAATCGGACCCTTCACAAATTTGTTTATCTTCATTATTATTTTGTTAATCGAATAAACCCTTTCCAGGGCAGAAAACAAGAAAGATGGATGTAAACGAATTAAGTTTTGTCTTCGGCAGACGATTCTTCCATTATTCGTCCGAAAT